AATTTGAAATTTCCAAAACAAAAGCAAAGTTGGGGAATTCCAGAAACTATAAACATTTATATTATACAGCTATGTAGGCTAAATGTTTACTATATTTAATTCATTGCATATTACTCAAAATAAAACATTCACGCTTGAATAAATATAAAAACCTACATCAACCTTTGAACATACACAAGCACATATATAATCACACGACTCCATTATCCACAGCTTCAATTTTAACTGCAAAAACAAAGCTCAACACTCTTTTATTCTCTCTCTCTCTCTCTCACACACACTGATACATTTGCTACAGCCACTCTTCTAATTTGTTCTTAGCCAAGCAGGAATCTATTTTTAGTTTAGAACGATAAGTATCAGTTCGTCAGTCAGTCAATCTGTCATTCACTGCCTCCAACCCTCTTAAATGCCTGCCTATCGACGTGCTCCTTGTGCCTGTTGTCCTCTTTGCTGCTTACTGTTTGACGCATGCGCTACTCAGGGTCTTTTGTGCAGACTTTGCCCTGGATTTTTCATCACATGCGCATTCTGCACGTGTAAGAAGCAGAAGAAGAACAATTATTATTGTAAGTAACGACGCGAGCAGCAGCACAGCCGCTGCCGACAATAGCATAGAGTAAGAGCCGTTGTACCGCTTCCATCGAATGTGGGTAACTTCTATTCGGTTTGTGCTATTTTTGTTGCCTTGCACTCTCATGGCGGCACAGCAACTCCGGCAGAGTAATGGTGAAGAGGCATAGACTCTGCAAAGAAAGTGCTGGAAAGAGAAGAGTGCTGGCTGCTGCTGCCGACCGAAGTAGGTAACTTCAATTCTGTTACAGAATTTTTTTCGCCTTGCACTTGGCACGACAGCAGCGCAGGCAGAACAGCGGTAAAGAGCAAACGCACTACAGAGAGAGAGAACTGGGAATCGAAGAGATTTTAGCTGCTGCCTTACGCATTGTTGTGGTTGCTGGCTAGCGGATGTGGGTGACTTGATTTCAGTTTCTTGCATTTTTATCTCATTGCATTTTTACTTGTTACGCCTTGCAGTTATCGCACTGCTTTTGTTTGTGTGTGTAAGTGTCCTCATATGATTGCTCTTGCTTGGGTGGGGCCTGTTTTATTTTTAAGCTAATTGTCGAGCTTTGAGCACATTATGCAAAGGCAAATGTACACACAAACGCGCGCGCACATGTGTATGCGTGTGTGCATGCATAAAAAGTGATTTATAATTGTGAAATTTATATAGCCCGCAAGAGCAAAAACAATTATTTCTAGACACATTTCACAATTGCTAAAAATACATATAAAAAGCCACACGAGCGGGCGCCCCACCACTCTCACTCACCCTCTCTCTCTCTGGCTTTAAGTGAAAATGTGCAGTTGTTGAGAGGCAAGTTTTCATGCAAAAGGTGAAAAACCTCAACAGGCGACACATTTGGCGGCGTCTATCGCCTCAATTTCTTTTAAAAAAGAAACAAAATTGAAATATTTCTTTTTTATTTTTTCCCATTTTCTTAAGATTCTTTGTGTTCCCAGTTTTTGGGGCCTCAACCACCTTTTGTCAGGAATCCTGGGTGTGCACTTCTGACAGCAATTACAACAACAACAGCTACAAGAATATGAACATTAGCCAGGCAAAACAACAGGCCAATATTTTGTAATCTATTTTTAATGGCTATGACGTGTTTTTGTTGCATTATTTTTAGCCGATCGCAAAAAGAACGAAAAGCTAAGAAAAGACGAAGAAGAATTCGACGTCGTTGTCCGTCTTTCTTCTGTCTGATCTATTCACAATTTTGTTGTCTGTTGATCCCATTTAAGAATAGATCCATAGTAGAGTATATAATTAGCTTGAGAGAAAAAAAAAGGGTTCAAAGCAATTAGCACACTAGGAATACAAGAACCGAACCACAAATCTCAAGTGGAACTAGTTCAAGAATTCAGGCAATTGAGAATTGATTTTCCAATTGAAACTTTTACGAAATCAAAATAAATTAATAAATGTGTTTTTCTTTTATAAGTCTAGTTAAATATTGGATATAATTTACAATATTACGTTTACGAATGCGATACAGATATTGATAAGAATTCTAAATACTCTTCACTTGTTATAGTGCCTGAAATTAACTTAATAAAATAAAATACTAAGCCTCTCGCTTGCTTCTTTCGGTAACTTCATCTATTTCTTAGCCAATATTAGATATTTTCAACTCACCATCGGCATCGACCTCGTTATCATATCCTGGAGCTCAGCCTCTGTGGGGTTCTGTCCCAAGGAGCGCATAACTGTGCCCATTCCTTTGTTGTGATGGTTGCCATCGCCGTCTTTGTCGAATAGCGAGAACGCCTCTTGAACTCAGCGATTTGTTCCTCTGTCAGCTGATCGGCCTGCCAAGAAGAAAAATCAGAATATTCTCTCAGTTTCACTTTTCGCTATTTGCGGGTCGTTTTCCTTTTTCTGTTTTTTAAATACCATAATTTAGTTTTCGATTGAACCGACTGCTTCAATGTATATTTGATATTAATTGCTGTCAAGTTTATGAAGTGTTTATGAATGATGACACAGCCGACGACTACTTGATGTTATTTCAATGCCAACATATGGGTAGACAACAATATCCCATATATCTATATATAAACTACTATATATATAGCTAAAAGCTGGCCAGTACTGCGGGGCTTTGTGTGGATAAACATTTCCCATACATTTTTATATTTGTAAGGGCAAGGCAACTTTCCAAAAATTCTTAAGAATAATTTTAAAATAAAAAACAATTTAAATTTTCCAAAGTTTTCCACAAGTTTTCCGAGTAATTTTTCATAAGATCCATACAAATTTTTTATTCACAGCCCAAAAACTTTCTAAAAATGTAAAAAGTAAAAAAAAATTGTTCAAGATTTCTTGAATTTTTCTTATACCCTATATTTTGGATGAAAACCTTGAAACTAATATGATATTTGTAAGGTATAAACGTTAAGAGAAAATATTCTAAACTTTTAAAGTTAGGAAGGGCAAAATTAGTTTGTGAACTATCTTTCATTTAGGCCATGTGCCGTCAATCAGTCAGGAGCTTTATATACACTTCTAAATATGTCTATAGAGGCACCATATAGTTCGAGAATCATGACAATTGTATCTATAAGAAAAAAGTATTTGCAATTATAATACATGCGCGTTCCCCTAGCGAACCATAAAAAGAAACAAAAGAGAACAATAAAAATTGTTAGAGGCGAATATGTCGAAACATTCAGTCGAATAGATACGTCAAAGGAAAGGTTGGTTTTTGAATAATTTGGCATATGTTTGCACTCAACAAAAGGCGCCAGATACATACTCATATATGTATATATGTATATAGAGATATGTATATAGAGATACAGTTGTTCCTCATATCTCAGCGATGGTATCTAGCAAAAGGTGTTGGGTTCCGCTGACGTCAATTTACTTATATTTTTTAAGGGGTCTAAAGTTTTGTATTATCACACATGTATCTATATGCGTAACTGTAGCTCTGTGAGCTACAAGGTTTTTTTTTTTTGGTATATTATGTTATTGTAGAGCCCTTGCTTCTAGTATTTCCCTGACTTTATAAACCAAAGCTCGTTGACAATCGAAGCGTTTCCGAATCAATTTGTTTTGACAGACATCAATTCAAATATTATTTTATATATATATCAAGCAAAAGCGATAAGGTCGGCGCCCCTATATATACACACACGTGTATAATAGAGGTACGGACTCGCATATCAATAATAATTTATGATTATTTTTATGGCCCACGTCAGCAGCAAATAGTTTCAAAATAATTTTTCATATTTATTTTTATTTTTGATTATATATTTGGCAATTGATTGATTTCGGAAACTAAGCTCGTAATGCACGCGACTTCCCCTTTTTAGATAAAAGGTAGCCAAAATGATGCTTTTCTAGCTCTATTAAATCATTTGCATTACAATATAATATGAAATCATATTTAGGGTAAGCGATGAGCTAATCTAAAGATTTACTGAACTAATGGAAATTCGAATTATATAGGAAATAAAATTGTCAAAGAAATTAAATTCTAATAAATTGTTTATATAAAAACTATGAAGACGTTAAAGAACATAGAAGTCGCTCAAATCGAATTTTCACTGTAGTTGCTAATATTCATCAACCAGAAATATTCATATTATAATATAGATGACGGAACCTTGTAGATTATTACTAGAATTTTAACCTCTATGAGCTCATTCGTATTGTGACTCAATCTAGATGCAAGTCTAGATGAAAACAATTTGAAAACACCCATTGCAGGGCAATTTAAAGTAGATTAAAACATTTCTTAGATTTCAGATAAGATTCGTTAAATAACAACGCTGCGACTATATCAACTGACATATCGCAATATTGTTTTACAGTTCCCCGAAGAATCTGAAGTGCAAAGTTCTTATGGCCCAAGTAAGTTAACTCTATCAATAAACCCAAATATTCACTATCTAATCAATTTACGGAGTAAAACGTATGGAAAATGTACCTTTTAAGTACACACTTCTGAATCAAGGTGTACGAGTTCGATTGTTATATAAGTGACATGCCTAAATGTTTGCTGACTATGTATTTATATATATATACCTGTACAGGTGTATATGGACAAATTCTGTTGAGCTTTGCCAAAATGCTAACGATTGAAATGTTATCTAATCGTTGTCGATTACAATTTAAGAGCACCAGGTCTATATAGATTTATGTGTTATATAATCTTTAACGATCGGAAATTAAAATTCTTTTAACCGATTGATAAGCAACTCTTATGGTATAGCCAACTGGTTTAGATGTTTTGGAAAGTTCGAAAAATTGTTGGATTATATTATATAAAATAATCTTTAAATATATTATTATTGTATTTTTCAATTGACATTGTACCACTGTACTGTAGGTGTAGCGTTGGGCGTCAATTGAATTTTGCTTATCGCTGTTTCCGATAAAACACTTTTTCTTTTATTTTACATATAGATTTTTTTGTGTTTGTCAGTAGTAAGCTGTTATTGTTGTTGATTATGTCATAAAAATGTGAGTCAAAGCGCCAAAGTCAGATCAAAGCGCAGCATGATGCCTTATAAACAATATGGCAACTCCACCCACGCTGACATCGTAACCAGATCGCAGGCGCTGCCTAATTGTCAAGCCTTAAATTGCGCGTCCAGTCGACGCCCACCTAACGAACACCTGGCTATGCATGTGAGTATACTTGTGCACGTATATATATATGTGCGTGTGTGTATTGCGCTTTGCAGGCATTGCACATGTGATACAAATGATGCATAAACAATACTTTTAATAGCTTTCTCTAGCTAGCTATCTCGCTCTCTCACCTTTCGTCTAACTGTTTATTCCGTCCGCTTGCATTTGGCTGAGCCAAAAACCGGCACATTGCGGTTTTTTTTATTAATGTGCTTTAGCAACCATTTTTTCGTTACTTCTTTTAAGGCGAATTGACAAAGTCAAAAAGAGAGTTGCCGGTCAGCCGGTGTGAACCGGTTAGCATTGGTATCAAGATATGTACACTCATACATACAAACATATGTGCCTATGCATGTATGTGTGTGCTTGTATGCGTCCATGTTTGCCGAAAAGAATTGCTGTGCTAATGTGTTGTCAATGTTTTTTTGTTAGCGCTTTTGATGAACTCAGCCAAATGAGTCATAAAATTAAAAGAAAAGAAATAACAGCCGACACTGAGAGCTCAACTTTATCCATGTTTGAAGATATGGCAACATAGGGCGCTAAGGAAATTAAATAACAACAAACATGAAAGATCAACCCCAACTGAATCACATTTAATGCAAAACAAAATATTGAGCACGTAAAACGATTTGTTTTAATTAAAAGCTGTTTGCATTGTAAAAAAAGAAGCGAACGCTAATTAAATTAACCGAAAGGTGGGGGGGGGTTGACTGCGTGTGTATTTGCTTATCAGAAAGCAAACGCAGCAAGCACTAAAACCAAATAAAATAAAAAGACAGCAGTGAAAATGGGTTTGTGTGCGGTAATATGGCGACGTCGCCACGTTTGGCGTCTGCGGCTAAAAAAATAGAAGGAAAATAATTTTTTTCTCTCTTCATTATGCTGCACGCTGCATACGATTGCCCGTTACAATGAAATTCTTGTGCGAATGGCAAAGTAGAACAAGCAGCAAAAGCAACAACAGCAACATGGCCATACAGCAGCAGCAACAGAAGCCAAAGCTGAAAGCGAAACAGCAAAATAACCGCAATGCGGCAAATGAAACGGTTATGGAAGAAAACAACAAAACGTAGGCGCCGCAACCGACCAACACAGCGAGAGTCAGAACGTGAGAGAGCGTGAG